GTAGGATATAGTGTAACAGTGCTAGATATGTATCTGGGTCATCTTAATTTTCATCAGAACAGGTTTATTATTTAAGTACTACTTTCTGCTGACCTTGGATAACTGATATTAGCTGTTCTATGTCGAAACTCATAGTTCATTGCAAACCACTGAAAAACACACGTAGGGAACTTTGGCTTGTTACCAGATATTGCCAAATTCAGCACATCCATGCAGAAATAGCTGTGAGTAATCACTCATGCCAAAGGTTTGAAGAGTGTCTGAGTAGGAGGCATTTTTTCACTTGGAATTGACAAATGCATGCTACTTTTTTCCAGGAACTTTTTCCTCAGCCAGCATGGACTCCAGCCCTTGAAATTACATTTATTTTGGCATGTGTTATCAGCCTCAGGATTCTTCTCAATGTCATCCACAATGTCTTGCTAAGCAGTTTGTTAGGGTTTTTGCATCTTCATATAACCTTTGCAATTTTTTGTTCTACAGCATTCAGAAACCTCCTTCAGAGTCCCTTTAAACACAGTCCCACCTAGCAGTGGGCATCCTTTCTCTTAACTGCTAGCTGGGGGCTGGTATCCTGGGATTCTGCAGCCTTCTGCTCCCAGCTGCAATGACTTCTTTGGAAGATTGCCCAGGTGGGATATAATCAGATTGATGTGGACTTACTGTGGACTCACTGTAGGTTACAGGAAATCTAGCTCTGGACTCTGCTGCCTTGCACAGTTGCTAAATGTACTCTAATGTTTGCCTGCAGCCTTTAAACGTCTCCCATGTTTCTTGTCAATTCATACATTTGTAACTGAAAAAATAACTGCCATCCTAACTGAAGAGGAAGGCATTGACTGCCAGCTTCTTTTCACAGTGGCAGTATGTGGTTTATAGTCTCTTTTAGCTAAGAGTGATTTCCCATAATGAGCTATTACACTTTTCACACACAGGAACCAAGACCATCAAGCCTCTACTTCTGGTTGAGTGTACTCAAGTTAAAGTTTTGTTATCATCTGTGATGCACAAAACAGGGGTCTTTAGTTTGGACCATGCTGTTGGAAAAGTATTCTGTCAGCAGCCTCCTTGGAGCAGTGTGGAATCACAGAAGGGTTTGGGTTGGAAGGGACCTTAAAGATCATCCAGTTCCAACCCTCTTGCCAGGATCATGAATGCCTTCCACTAGACCAGGTTGCTCAAATCCCCATCCAATCTGGCCTTAAACACTTCCAGGGATGGGGCAGCCACAGCTTTTCTGGGCATCCTGTGCCAGTGTCCCACTACCATCATAGCAAATAATTTCTTCCTAATATCTAATCTAAATCTCCCATCTTTCAGTTATCTCAGTTTAGCAGCATTTGCATCTTTGTTGACTTAGCTAAGCCCTGGCTTTCTACTGCTGAAAGCTAATGGTCATACACACCCTTCTAATAGTGTCCCACTGTAGATCTCAAGAGTATATTTGCACTTAGTTTATTGATGTGATCCAAACAGCACTCCTACAGTTCCACAGGATTTAGTCAATGTGCACAATTAATGTTGTTTTCTTCAAAGAGCAGTCTACAAATGCTCAGCGCTTGGCATCAAGCCACCACTTTGTGTGGGCTCTTTCCTCCTTCAAGGCAACATTCTCCTATAACATATTCATTTTTTCAGGCCTTTGCAGGAGGAAAGAGTGCCGTATTTCCTAACACCACAGAGGTGCCTCTCTTTTTGGTGTGTTTGATGAAGACAAGAGCAGTGGCCCCACTTCAGCTCCTCTTTCCATCGGTCTTTCACAGGAAAAGAAACATCTTCAAAGTAGCCTTCTGCTACTCTAGAGGCACATATGGATGGTTTTCTTTTTGGCTCACCCATAGCCTAGGGGAGCTAGGACTGGTCTAGGTCCTTCCTCCTGTCTCTTTGGTGGGAAATGATTCAGGTGATGCTTGTAGTCTTGTTCAGCTCATCATTTTGACTTGGTTCATGAACTCCCTCTCTGGGAAGAAAGCTTACTGCCTGGTCTGACCCTCTGACCTCCTAGTGCCTGTGGGTTTTCTTCTGCTTTCACTATTGCTCCTTCTGCCCCCTATTTGGCTTTTGCACCTGCTTGTGATTAAAGATTAATGAATACCCCATTGGTTTCCAGATAATCCAAGTTTCATTTGCTGTAATATTGCTGAGCTCCTCTGAGGAAGGAGTGCTGTTGTCATCCCTTGCTTTATGGTTGCTATGATCTGGTTTGGTTCTTGTGCTCATTTCCAAATATTATGAATTGCTTTGGCTTGTGTGTGTTTCCTCATAGCACATGTAATGACTCTACTGTTTTTTGCAAACTCCTTTAATCTTCCTGTGCCTCTACATCTCAGAGTCCTTCTGTGCCTCAGTGGAGTCTGAGTGAGCTCTGCAGCCCCAGCTTGGTACTGGTGCCCTCCTTTACTCAGCAATTTCAAACAGCTTTCTCAAAGGATATCAGAGTGGTTTCCACTTACCAGCTTCTGAAGTTTTTTTCCCACCTTAACAACTGTCTGGCTACTCTATAGCGTCTTCGATAGCTTCCAACATCTCAGTTTTGAGTTTTCTGCATTTTCAGAGACAATCTGATCCATTGATACTTTCATTCCAGGGACCCAGACTTTCGTGCTTCTGGTAAACTCACTCCTCGTACACTATGTGAAATACTGAATTTATTACATTTCTCTCCTATGCTTTAATGTCCTGATAAATGAAAAATGTTAAAACCAACAAGTACTCCAAGATGGTCTGCTGCTGGACAGAAAGGCCTTCTGATATCTGTCTTCCTTGTTCCTGGCTCTCGTCAGTAGATCCAGAAGGTCATGCTATTTAAACTGTCTCCTCATAGCCATGTTCTCCAAAAAGTTACAACTCATTTTCCCAGTTAGGATATTCTCTTATAGCATTTTATTCCTACACCTTCACCACACAGGGGCTCACCAGGGTACCACGAGACTCTTGAGTAATGCTGCCTGCGCAGCTGCCCCGTGTCAGCCTTCTCAACTGGTGATTCATTCTGTGGATGCTGCACGGTGAGATCTGGCTGTCCAGTGCCACAGGAGCCTGCACTGTGCTCTCTTCTCTTTGAAAACACTTCAGCTCTGGCTCTGTAGGGGCTGGCAAGCCAGGGCCCCAGGAGAAGTGAGCAACAGTAGCTTGGTGCATAGATGTAGTGGGCTCATCAGCCACTGCATGGCAGCTCATCTGTCTGTCTATCATTCCTGCCTTTAGCTAGGAAACTGGGTTAGCTGGTGGGTCAGGTTGTTCCTCTCCCTTTCCAAATTCAACTCTCCAGCTGAGTAAAGAGGTCACAGCTCTCTCCTGTATTTGCGTCACGGTCACGATCTAAGGATCTCTGTCTCATGTTTTCCATGCCTTTTACCTTGAATAGCTCTTTGCTCCTGTTTAAAGGGGATATAAAATACCACTACTATTTTGAGTTAATAAAAAGGTCTGAATAGGTTATCCCTAACATGCTGTTATCATTCTGAGTAATCAATCAAAGACAGAAAATTAGGGTTCAAGGTCAATATTCTGCAAAAGCAGAATTGTGCATCTCAAGGGCTTCATTTCCAGTTAAAACAAGCAAGGGAAGTTCAGAGTCAGGTAACATTATGTGACACTATAGCTCTGTACTGAGCAGCTGATCCCAAATGTCACCTTCAAATTGCATGTAACCACTGTAGGACTTTTATCAACAGGTGACATGATCACAGATGGCATAAATGGTCAGTATTTAGCAGAGTGGTGAGAACTGGAGATGCTCTGCCTGTCTGTAGTGCCCCAGAGCTGGGACTGCAAGCCAGACTGCACTTTTGATGAAAAACCTCTGTGTTGAGTGGGTGACACTGAGTTGTGGCTGTGAATGGACATTCAAAGGTGATTACCCACCTTTCCTGGCGTGTAACTCTCCTGTGCATGCACCTGCAGCCTCCTGTCCAGTTGGACCTCAGCTCCGTGCCTTTTCTTCTCCATATGCTTTCTTCTGCAAAGTCTGTGGCTGGTCTGGCATTGTGACCAGTGGGCTCTGATAGTGGCTGCCCTTGCACTGCCTTGATGATTTGAGTGTGTCACGTTGTGCCTTGCAGTATGGCAGCAGCGATGATTCCTGTGCCTCGAGGGTTTTGCCTCTCAGAATAGCTGCAAAAGCTGCTGCTCCCTGGCCTAGTGTGTAAAAATTGGGTATGACCAGCAGATTTGTAGTACATATGCTTGGTAAGAAGTGGGAGTTGTAGGACCTGGACCCCTTAGAAGCCAGGCTGTAGGAAGAGCATCTCTGCATGGGCAGGTTCAGGTGGAGCTGAGCTCTGGAGCTACAGCTCCTGGGTGGATGGGGAGAGGGACTGAAGCTGGAGTCCTCACAGTGCTGGGCAGGGGCTGGCAACTCGGCTCCCTGAGGTGACACACAGCTCAGTGAATACTCACTGATGCTCTTCTTTGAAATGGTAGTATTTTTGATGATAAATGTATAAGATGGCCTGCACAGAGAACATGCGACATGCACAATAGTGTTGTAAATTGAGTTATGCACCTTTTGGCTCTGCGGAATCCACTGCAAATGGAAAGTACTGTAGCTTTTACTAGCGGCTGAATGAGCCCATTCCTAGCTAGGAGATGCACTCCTCCATCCCTACAGACATCAGCTTTTAGCTACACAAAGTCTCAGCGAGGATCCTACAGATATCAGACTCCCATGTGGTTGTTTTGTGGTAAGGAATGGTTCTGACAGATCTGCCTGTTTTGGTAAGATAAATATTGGCATCAAATGCAGGAGAAAGAAATAGGAATGTAAACAGCCTGACTGTGCACTGTCTTGTACCTTTTGCATTTGGAAGTAAATGATGACTATGTAAGATTTAAAGCACATGAGACCAAATTTCCCTAGTATCGTTCTGAAAGCTGCAGGAGCTGACGCAGGCTGAGATACCCCCTTACTGGAAATCCATGCTCTCCCACTGGTAATGGACAGTCAGGTTTTTGTCTTTTATGTAGTTAATTTTAATATTCTGTATATTTATTTCTAGATACTGTTAGAAGCTGTGTAGCAAAGCTGTTCTTCAGCTGTCCCCTGAAGGGCCATTACTGCCTGTACAGTAAGTCCAGTTTTACCCTCATCAGCCAGCAACCTTCACTGTGGATCCATATCATGTTCCTCTTCCAGCAGGTGTGTTCAATACAAATTCATGGCATCCCTACACTGTTCACGTTGCACTTGGAAAGAATGTTTTAACACTTTATCTTGTTAAATACACTTCTAACCCGCTGTGCTTTGTGACCCCTGTGATTTCTCAGAAAGCCATTGTAGTAGTTTGAAATGATTTTGCATTTTGCATTTTGTAAGTTTTTATATTTCTATTAAACGCAACAAATTCAAACAGTCTGGTGACATTACAAAGTCTGGGGATAAAAAGGTGGGACTAAACCTTATTGCCCTCATTCAGACAAAACTTCCAGTAAGTCCCAGGTGCCTTGCAAATGAATAGGAACATTGCAGTACATTTGCAGGGGAGCAGAGTCAACCCTGAGGCTGCAGGTGGAGGTTTGAGGTGCAGCAACCACTGGGATCTTCTTACTGCAGACATTTTGACTGAGCAGGATTTACAAATCTGATTATTGCTATTCCCCTACCAACCCTACAGCTACTTCCCCATTTTAATACTGTTTCCAAATCCAGCCCAGTATTTGGACCTATGTGGACTTTCTTAATAGATTACAAATCGTATTACATTGTAAGAGAAATCACTACATTCACACTTCAAGATTAAGAAGGTGAGGTTTGTGTTAAAATAGTAAGCTTCAATTTCTCAACTTATATAAAGCTGTTTGCTGCAGTTCATAGAATCAAGCAACCCTAAAGCAACCTTAGAAATACAAAGGATTTACCTGAAATTTAAAATATTCACAGCGAGTTATACTGTTAATTTAATTGCTTGAATTGCTCTTCCTTGTGTTAGTCCCTAAATACGTACAAAAAAAAAAAAAAAAGGATTTTAAAAATGCAGGTCACTGGGAGTATTTGGGTGTTTCAGTACAAGAAGTGGTTTCTCTGGATCTGGAGGTGCCTGTGTAAGCTGCTTGTGAGAATGGGGGCTTTGCTGTAGATGAGGAATGGGGATGGTCAGGAGCCAAGCTGAGAGGTGATTGGGGAAGGAGAGGACAGTGACAGCAGAGCAAAGGAAGTGAAGAAAATAAAGGAGATGAATTACTCTGCAAAGGAAAACCTGAAGAAAGAGATAGTATTTAACAGGACCCAGAGATAATTAATTATGTTGCAGGTGTATCCTTTTATTCCTGATGTGAGGAAAACAGGTATTGGAAAGCATGGACAAAAGTACAAAACCACACGAAAATGTGAAAGGAGGAGCAGATGCAGAGGAGACAGGCAGCAGCACTGGCTTTTCTCGCTTGCCACTCTGCAGCCTCCGCTGCCCCTGCCACTGCACTTCAGCGCAACGGCCTCTGCTCTTTCTGTGGTTGATGGTTTGAATCAGTTGCACTGACAACATAAGCACCGATTCCGCCTTTAATCCCTCATGCCTTGCCTTTTCCTGATCATTTCTTCACTTAAAAATCTCTCCCTTTAACGCCTTCCCAGGTAATTCTGAATTTAGCCCTGCCAGCAGGACTATTGAGCTTCACATAGTTCCCAGCTCAGAGGGGAAATACTACTTTCCTTCCCCATTCCTCTGCACTGGGGTGCCCACTGCCCTCCTTCTCCATCCCCATGTGTCTCTATTGGGTCTTGCTTCCTTCAGACACTGCCCCTACACACTGATCCCTCCATTGCCCACTGCTTTCCCTGCTCTGAGCTGGGTAATTGCATTTGTCCCACTGCAGCACCTCTTTCACTACAGTCTTGTTAGTTTGTTCCAGCTCTTCCAGTGCTACTCCTGGCCCTGGGCTCCCACGCCAAGGAGCCGACAGAAGAATTCCTCCATGCTGCCAGAGCCAGGCTCAAAGGATCACAGTTTAGTCTGCCTTTGCAAGCATGCTGTAAACACAGCACTTAATACTCAATTTTAATTGGGGGGGGGGGGAAGAGGGAAGGAAATTAAAGGGTTCCTCTTGTGTTGCACTTGAGTATTGGAGTCTGCTGTGCATCAGGATGGTGTTTGATGTCAGATAATTTATTATTTTCTTTTGTTTGAAATCCTGTAGCTTTTAAGTACTGGGTATATAACTATTACTAAATGAAATACAGGGCCCTAAATTCAGCCCTGGGATGATGTTATTTAAGCCTGTGAAACTGTACAAGAGATAAATTTGACATAAAATGTATTTATAGTGTGTTATTAATAAGTTAAATGAAAGGCTGGTGATAAAAATGTCATTTTCAGCAGGTCTGTCATAGATTTACAGACAGATGGCTAATACACACTTTCTGACTGTTTCAGTGCTAGTTACCACGTTTTTTTTCTCTTTTTGCCAATCACTCCATATTCTGTTTATCTCTGTGTTCTGCAAAAGTAAAAGCAAGAGAGACTTTTTCTCCCAGGTCTCCAGAACAGGTCCTTAACTTCATGACCCTGTGTTCTATTTAATTTCTAAAATATTAGTGAATAGTTTTAGCATGCTTCGAAATCCTTGGATGGAAGTTGTGAAATGGCAAATTATTACTGTAGGACAATAGGAGGAGAAGTATATGTCAGTGAAGATCTGAGAAATTGTCTTACAGTTAAGTGATGGGACAAAAATGGAGTAAGTGTTAATATTAGAGTGGTTTCAATAGGATGCTTTGGTTCACAGATTCATTCATTAAAATAATCCTCTAATGCTATGCGATTAATGCATTACAATTATTAATGATTAAAGCAGGACAGGGTCACATCACTATGGTAGCAGCAGCAAGCAAGGGGCTGTCCAACGTGTCCCTTTCTAACACCTTCTCTAGAGTCACTCATAAATTTGCCAAACACAGACTAATTGGGCTGCCATTTTCCCGTGCCAGGTGTCTGCCTGGAGCTGGCTGCTTCTCCCTTTTAATTCGAACAAAATGATCTGGCTGTTTCTGAGAGTTTAGCCGGAAAAAAATGCATTGCCTCAGCCATGATAAAATTCCCAGTTGAATGTTACTGAAATGCGTCTGTGTCAGTTGGATGCCAAACAGTGGGATTAGGATTGTTCAGTTTCTGCTTACAAAGAGAGGGAGGAATGTCCATCCAGGAAACCTACATTAAAAGTAGGTTCATGGTTCATATTGCAAAATCAAATACTGGAAATATGGAAAATCAGATTTTCTTGTGAACTCTTTAACTTGCCTCCTGCATGCAAATAGATATAGTAGACATTGAAATGCTAAGCTCTCTCAGCCACAGTAGTGTTCTTGTAACATTGACTTTGTGTGCAGTTTATACAACAAAGAACCTAATGCTGTTGAAATACTAGAATAATTTGAAGCAGTATAAGGTTGTATCCTTGCTGTCCTTTGAAACAGGGAGCTTTGGCAGTGAAAGCACCCAACCCAACACAGGTTTCATCTTGTTTTGTGAATGTTCACAGGCTGAAAATTCCTGTACTCTGCCAGCAAAATCTGTGTTGAATGTGTTCTGTGGAGGTTTTTTTCTCTTGCATTTCATCATGCTGTCTGTTCAGTGCAGTCACAATTGCTGCACTGTTACTCTTCCCCACACAAGGACCAAGAGCTGCAGTCAGGTCCAAATAAACATACACAAACCTGCAGTGCTTCTAAGCATCACTTTGCATTAACTAGTAAATAATGTGTCTTTCCCAGACAGTTGCATGTCACCGAGAACTGCACCTGGTTCACAGAGGCCACTGCCGCTAGTGTTTTGATAGACTAGCATTTCAATACGAAAATGACATGCAAGTGGCTGTGCATAGTGGTAGTTGATAGATAACCTTTGGTGAGCCGCAGACTGTAAAGATGTGTAATGTACAATAAACGAGAAAAGCCCCAGAGGAAATGAAATATTGGAGGATATATCTAATTGTGTGCATACTGATCCATCATAACTCCTCAGAGAAATGAACTAACCCCCAGTTATCTGCATGCCTGCCTCACTGTAAGAATGAGATGCTCTTTGTTAATGACAAATTTAAAAGTGCCTGAAATCCTGTTTTCAACATTTACTTTAGAGCTTGTTTGCAGAGCCTTTGTCCATAGAGAGTAATCCTGTGCAAGTCCTTAAAGCCCTGTGGGAGAAGACACGGCTTAAGGGGACACATAGTTTTGAAACTGCCATCATTCAGTCTACATTTCCACACCAAAAGGTAAGTTTTCTTTTTTCCTCAGGAAAAAAAGTAGAACTCTGCCCTGACTTTTAGAACAGCTGAACAAAGACCCTTACAATAGCTACAGCAAGCCCTTGTTGTGCTCAAATCGTGACAAACAAAACTTCTTTCCCTGCCCCTTCCCTTTCTTTGCCTTAGTTCCGGCATCTTCTGAGCATTTGCACTTACTGACATGCCAAGTCTTCTTCTGGATGCCCATATGGTGCATGCCTCTGACCTCCCTTTTATAAGAAGCACTCACCTGTGGGGAGGTTGAAAAATGTTCACCAGCTATTGTATTTAGAACCTCTACAAAGGGTCCATGGTGTTCCTTTGTACCATGCTTTGAAAGGTCTTCAGGCTAGTTCTCCACCCCCTCCTCCCTGCTTCCTGTGGATTGTTCCCAACACAATTAAAAATGGTGATGCTACATGTGGATGTTCCCCTGTTCGCAGTTTCAAACTGTAGATTCAGATTAGCTGCCGCTATGGACTGTTTGGCAGCCACTTGGAAATTCACCTAGTTAAATACAGACTTGGATTTTATGGAAATGATCATTTGCACAGGCACCATTAGTTACCCCCATCAGTTTAAAAGATTAATCTTTCAAAGCTGTTTACTGTCTCTGGGATTTCAGCAAATGCTATTTCAAAGCTATTAATCAGGCTTCTTGGAAAACGATGCTGTAGGATTGTAGAACAAATATCTATTTATTCCTGAACATCTCCATCCAGCCTAATTGGATGAAATGAATTGTCAAATGTGATTTTAAAATGCTCTCTCTCAGAACAGTGTACACATGAAGATGTCTGACTGAATAAGATTAATTTACCAAGGCTATGGCTGATTTTAAAAAAGGAGTTTTGTTAGGAACACCTGCTGAACCCCCAAGATAATGTTGCATTGAAGTGGGAACTCCTGCTGTGACTTGTATGAGGAGTAGGACATCCTCGCATCTGAGACCCAGCTTATGGGCCAGTTTTGCTTAGACACAGTGGAGCTTGCACTAAGTATTTTAGCTGCTACTGAAATCCTAGCTAGCTCGTCCAAAGGCATTAGAATTGCTTTTCTGTTCAGTACTGGTTTGAGTCTGTGCCAAGGTCTACTAGTCAAAAGTCAGAGCTGGTAGAGTATGAAGGAGTTTGGGGTGAATAAAAAGCCTAGGAAAGAACATGCCTTCATGGGTAGGATTAGATGTAGTGCATCACACACACAAAGTCTACAAAACATGTTAAACACCCTAGAAAGGGGATTAGTCTCCAGAACATTGGTTGCATAATCCTACTACTGCTCTGATACTAGCATTTGCGCTATTCTGGGAACTTCCATCACTCCGTGACAGTAGCAGTATCTCTGAGTTCCCATAATATTGGAGCTGGAAAATGACATACTGATCTTCAGTGACTTAATGAATTAAGCAGTGAAATGAATTTGGAAACTTGGGAGCTGCAGATTGTCTAAGAGCCTTTGAAGGCTGAAGAAGGTCAGGCAGATCTAAAACACTTTCAAAGACTTTAACATTCAGTCTTGGTCTCCACAGTATGCTGCTGGATTTACTTTCTCAGTTTTGGTTTTGCTTTATTAATACAGAACCTGAGTTTGTTTCTAGTACACTTTCCGTTTGGTTTACCGAGAAAAGTGCCGTTGAGTTTTCTGGGAGTGAGACCTAGGCTTGCTGTTTCCTTTGGCTTTTATATTTCCCAGAAAATCTAGTGGGAATATTTCTTCCATGACCTAGTCCTTACTTTGCTTGACAGACTAAGCTTCTGTTATAATGTGACTTTTTCATTTCATTAGTTGTTCCCACTGCTAATAGAACTTCTAATGTTGTGAATTACTTGACAAAATTATTACAGTTGTTCATGTTATTCCTCTGCCAGTAGAGCAGGAAGCAAAATTATGCGGCTGTGGTTGTTACAATAAGGGTAACACTTTTAATCTGAAATGTTTTGAAATCTGTTGATGTGAATACAGCATCAGTGTCATCTGTTACACTTTATATTAAGTTTCATGTGTTCTGTTATAGCAGCGTCAGAATGCTTTATTAGAATTGAGGAATTTCTGTGCTGTGAGCACACAGGGAAGGTCCAACCCCCAGTAGCCAGCAGGAGCCACAGCAAAGCCAGTGATGCAATACTGCTCTGCAATCCCTGTTCGCCCTGTGGCCAATCCAGAATAAACTAATGTAGGGTTTTGTTTGTTGGGTTTGGGTTTTTTTTTCCAACAGGGGTTCTAAAGCATTTTGCGAACCTGGGAAAAAAAAAATACACCAGTGGTTTATTCCAGGGTAAATTTGGATAAATATTTTCAGAGTTACATCACTGTAAGCAATTTTCAGTTTCAGCCCAGGACGGGTGTGCAAGGGATTGCAGCAAATACCTGGTTTATAGATATTGCAGCAAATACCTGCCTGGTATTGTGTTTCACCAGGCAGCCTGTTCATGCCACACAAAATATTTATACAACATGGCTTAAGATGTGCCAGAAGTAAAGCATTTCCAGATGTACATCCTTACAGATTTCCGTTCAGTTGCTTCACAGTTCTTTATCAAAGTATACGCAGGACATATTAGAAAAACTAAGCCATTTTTGAGCTTGTTTCTGAATTCTTTGTGTTGACTCATGCTGTGTCAGAAGAGTGAGACGCTGGCTACTTTATGAGCCCCATGTGATGCCCCTAAGAGAGTCTTTTGTTGAGCAGCCTTGCAAGAGAATAATTAACATTTTTAAGCCATTGTTCTGTTCTTTCCTTCGTTTGCTGTCTCTGTTTATGTAGCAGAAAGAAGTGCTATGTTTTCACAGTGGAGTCACTGAAGTTTTCAAGACAAAGGAACATGGTGATGAGATAAAATCTTTTCTCTCCAACTGGGTTTTTTTCCCCTGTGCTTCCCCTCCTTGAAATAAGTGGTTTGTTGAAAATTATTACAAGTGTACTTGAGCACAGAATGGAAAAGAAAGATTGCGGCATTGACATTTCAGTGCTATTTCACTTTCAGTCTAGAGCTGGCTCATTGTAGCTTGCTCATTGAAGGTTTTTTCACAGGATGGAGAAGCTCCTAGACTTTCTGTTCAGCGTCATCTATGTGCCCTTACAATGTCGTGTGCTGACCCACTGAGAGCAGTACCATTGTTATTTTGCACATCTTGAATCCTCCCACATACAGGAGGAAGATCAAGGCACACTGGGGCAGGGTGCACTGCTGGCCATGCTCTGCTCTGCCATACCCTTCTTGAAGGGAAATCTGCCCTTCCACTGAGAGCCTGAAGTAGGGAGACCACTGTGGGCTGGTGTGGTCTGTTGCTCCACCCCGGGAAGGACCTACTGGGGATCCCACACCATGCACAAAGTATCTGAAGGGAGGCAGGGACCTGGACTGTTAGATCCACTGCTGACTGAGCAGCTGGAGAAACACAGAGAGAAGCTGCACAGTGCTCCTGCTGCACAACACAACAGCCAGCTCAACTTCTTGAATGTACAGAATTCTTCTTTGGAGGAAAATAAGAACTTCAGCAATAAGAACACCCAGAAATGTATAAAGAGCACTTACAGATCAAAATAACCAAGTTTTATATGTGACTGCCAGTGCAAGCCAGTTTGAGTGTGCTGGCTCAGGGCAGCCCAGCAGCTGACTGCACAGGGGTATGGATGCAGCCCCGACCCCAGCGAACATGTGCAGGAGGCATAAGGAACTGAACAGCTGAGTGTTACAGTGGAGCCCACCAAGGCAGCCAGGGAGTGCAGGGGACCTCTCTGATGCAGCCTGGCCACTCATCTCCCACATGGCCTCAGACTGAAAAGCCTGGCTGTGAGGCTGCTACCCTGCAGCACCTTCTTGCAAACAAAGCCAATGTGTGTCCAAGACCTCTGTTGTGTGATCACTCTCTTCCTGTGTGTTATGAAGCCCATCTCTCTGCATGTTGCTTCTGGAAAGGGAAGAAAACCTTTATTGTTTGGAGTTTCTCAGATGACATGAGCCGTGCTTCGCGTTCTGCCTTGCCATCCTTCCTACAGACAGCTTAAAACCCATTGGGAGATGGCCTCTGGCATACAGAGGGGGCACCTGAGAGCTCCCCATTAAGCTAAAACTCAATGATTGGCTTAGCTGAACTTGTTATCCAAGGCAGTGTCCAGAGGTCTGAATGGGCCTTGGGTATTTTGGTTCTTGTTAAAACAGCTCTTTCCTGGCTTTTTCTTGGATTGAAAGAGGCTCTGAAGGAGAGACATCTTGCTGCCGGGTCTCCCTGAGCCAGCCGGCTTCCTGCTCCCTCTCCTTTAATAGAGCTTGCCTGAAAAGTCCCAAATCAGACAACTAGATGCTTTGCACAGCCTTGCTCAGTCCTGTGAACTAATGTCCCTGGCAAGGGATTATATTTTCCCCACTGGCTGTGTAAATCTGTGTTTTTTTTGGGTTGCAGCATGCACTGTTGCAGATCTGTGAAGACCCTTCGCAAATAAATAGGAGTGTTTTCTGACTGGTTCTGGCCGTTCTCTTCATGTTTGCAATAACTTGGTTTCTGTTATTTAACACCAACCTTTGTTTAAGTATGAGATCACAAACTGTTTTGAAATTAAATAATGGGATTTAGAATACACTGAATTATACACTGCTATTGATTGCGTCAAAAGGAATATCCTCTGGCTTTTCCCATACTTGAAGCTGCAAGTATGCTTTCTGTAGGATTCGTTTATTATACATTCAGTTTACTTGGCAGATGCATAATCCTTTCCTGGCTTCTCACTGGCAGGATAATATATTTTCCTGGATGTGTTTTGTGTGAGTTAAATCAGTCCTGTCGTTGCTGTGCTTTTGGAAATGCTCATATGAACATTTACATTAAACACTGGTACCAGTGCTTCTCACAGGGGACTGCGTTCACAGCCCCTATTCTTTCTTTAAAAAAAAAAAGTGGTCCCCCACCACTAACTCTGCAGGGTCCAGTTGGACAGGAGGAAGACCGCAGCGTGTTGGCAGAGACCACTACTTTTTGGATCATTGAAAAAATCCTGAGAGGGATGGAGGTAATAAAGGTGGTTCCGCTGGTGGGAAACGCGCTGGGCAGCACTGCTGAGAGCACTGCTGGCAGCACTGTTAAAGAGACACAAAAAGTCCCAGACTAGCCCTCTGCCTCCTGCAGACTAATAATTTATATATTAGCTACTACTGATGATAGAGATATGTCCTGCTTAGCACATTTGCCCCAGCAGGTTGGTTGTCTGCAAGAGACATATGGGAAAGGATGCTAGTTGGCATCAGCTATGCATCCCTCTGTGATTTTGGGTTACGAGCCGTTAAGAGTGCAGTGCTTCACCTCATGAGTGAGTTTGTTTTTTCTCATTACTGGTCTAGGACCTGGACCATGTGCAGATGCACCTGGCAGAAGTGAGGTTCTTTGATTTATTTGGCTACAGCGAAGAAGCAGGAACTTGGCAGTGTTTCATGTGCAATAACCCTGAAAAGGCAACAGGTAAGTCACCTGCCTTCATCCCTGGTGGGCTGTGTGTGGTGGTGGAGTTGTGGTGGATGGAGGATGGAGTGAAGCTCACAATTAGTTAATGCTGTGTCTCTGGTGGTGGTGGCAGAGGCTGGGGAAAAAGGAAACCAAACTGTCCAGCATAGCACAGGCACCGTTTGTTTCAGCTGGAATTCTCCATTAACTCTGGTCTCAGTTTCTCAGATGAGCAAGGCAAGCACAAACTTCATTAGGTGTGTGCTTAGAGGGATAAAATCCAAAACTAATGAAAGGAATAAAATCCAAAACTAATGAAAGGGATAAAATGCAAAATTAATGTAGACTCATAAATGTGTGTAACTAACTTGTGGGGCATGGGAGGGACCTGCACCCATCTTGCAGTGTCCAGATAAGGCAGCTGAGTCTGCTGGACCAGGTCCTCTGCAGACTGCACACCTGCCACATGTCAGGGGACACTGGCATAGATACGACACTTGATTCATGTCATCTTTGTTCTCCGTTTTATTTGCTTCAATATAATTCAATCCATAGTACACATCCTCTTAGGAACAAGGCAGTGTTTAACAACAGCCATATTACTTCAACCATATGAAAAAACAGGCTGAGTGGAAAATACACTTTTTCACAAATAAAAGATCCTAGTGACATTTTTTTTATCCTTTTTTGTTTTCTGATACTCGTATGTTTTGGATCAGTGCCCTGAAATTCAGAAGAATGGCTTTTCCTTTAGATGTTTTTTGCCACTCTGTAAAAAATCTGCACAATTCTGGCCAAGAATTTTGAATATTTTGGCTAAGCCTTTGAATAATTGGCTGTTTAAGGTATTTATTTTAACAGCTAGCAACTCTTTATATTTCATCAACCCTGAATTTAGTAAGTCTTTAGTAAGTCTTGCAAGAGTGGCACAGCCTCTGCTGCAGGCCTGCAGGCACAAGCTGCCTGTGCTCATTTCATGGGACCATCTCCTTCCACATCTCTCATGGCACTCAATGACCATTGTGGTTTGTTCATCATATTGGTGACATATGTCAAGCTACATGGATAATGATGATTAAGCTACATGATAATGATTGAACTGTGGCTATAGGGATGCTGGGGAGGAGCTATTCATTAGGCACTGGTAGGACAAGGGGTAATGGGTTCAGATTTAAACAGGGAAGTTTAGACTGGATACAAGGAGGAAGTTCTTTACTGTAAGGGTGGTGAGGCACTGGAATGGGTTGGCCAAGGAAGCTGTGAATGCTCCATCCCCGGTGGTGTTCAAGGCCAGGTTGGACAGAGCCTTGGGTGACATGGTTTAGTGTGAGGTGTCCCTGCCCATGGCAGGGGGGTGGAACCAGATGAACTTAATGTCCTTTTCAACCCTAACTATTCTATGATTCTATGAGTATCTTGCTTAAAATTTCAAAGCTTGGTAAAACAGCTTTGTCCTGAGTTTTCAAAGATATTTAACTAGTCCAAAAAGGGGAGTGTTTGTAGCAAGCTATTGATTATGCTGATAGGGCAACTGTAGTAGAGACAACAGAGCAGATGAAGGTAGAAAAGGCAGTCCTTGGGGTGACATGGTGCACCATTCGTTGTTGACACCTTGGGTTTTGCTAATGACACTAGTCTGGAGACATCAAAGGACAGCTGACACCTTGCTTCCCTGCTGCTCTCCTGTCAAAGTACTGCATCCTCCAAGGAGAGGTCTAAGAAGGGCTGGAAGCAGGACATGGTGCAGGGAGGTCCATGGGGCACAGCACCGTGGCTCTGCTGCCAGGAGCACGAGGTTGGGTCTGGGATCCAGACCTCGCCAGTATTACCAGTATACAAATGGTGCCTTCAGACGGGTCTGAACTCAAGGCAAACAGCAATAAAAGACTGTGATAGCAGGCAGAAATTCCTGCTAAGCTCTTCAATACTCTTTGGTAAGTACAAGAAGAATTTACAAAACCATGACTGTCTCTGTACCACTGACAAGGGGTTCTTGAGTCTGTTTGCAGAGCACTTGAGCTGATGTCTTGAGTAGTGCACACTGTATATCCTGCCTGATGCCAGTGATCCTCAGGAAGTGGAAATGTAATGCCTGCTGTGGAAAGCCTGCAGCAGGGGTTTGGCATGCCACATCTCTCACCTACTCGTTCTTTCAGGCTGGTGAAAAATTACATCGCACTGTTGTAGGTTGTAGATTTGGTATCACAGTATTTCACGGAGATAAGAGAGAAGGTCACATCTCTTCTAAGGGCTCACCATTTCCCTTAGCTGCTGTGAAAAGGCTGCAGCAAAATGCATGTGCTGTTCCCTCTTCCTTGGGTGTGTAAATACAGTTCTCCATTTGTTCATTGGTGTGAACAGAAGAGTTTAATATATTCAAAGTTTTGCCCTCTAACCTGAGCAGTTCCCAAATGGCAGTGTAACAGTGCTGTGTTTCACAAGAAGTGCCAAAATCCACTCTGTGTGGAGATGTAGGAATGTGGAAGCACTTGGCCAGCTGGGCAAGGGGCGGCTGCCCTTATCAAGCTCGACAACATGTCCAGGTACAAATTAGACTTTCATTCCTATAGGCTGGTACTTATATAGGCCCTTGTAAATTATAGTGCCTTTTCTAGAAGTGGGAAAACAATTTTCTTTAGGTTTACCTTTTTTCTACCTTGTATCTGTATGATGTTAACTAAAGCCTAATGGAAAAAAATGCAAATACAGCACTAAGGTTGTAAGTGAAATGATGAGTTCTCAGCAGATACAATAACTTGAGACTTTGCTTTCTTTTTCTTGAGTACCACCAGTACTCAGGAGCATGGAGGATGCCTGGGCATTCGGGAGGAGGTTTTCCCTCCTCAAGCACTGAAGGCACAGAGGGTGTTGCCTGGAATTTGCAGGCCTATCACTGCCCACAGGTCTGCCTCCCTCTCCCCCCATTCAGAAAGGTGCTCAGCCTGTCCTCCCTGCCCAGCCTCCAGCTGTCTCTGCTGCCATAGCCCACGAGAGGTAAGAGAAGACATTAATAGCCATCAACATATCAAATCATCATTTAGTCTTTGTTTTAGAGCCAGGGTTGAGAGTTCAGCCATGCCTCTGAGGATGGTCAGGAACAGGAGGAACTAAGCACAGAATATTTTTGGACTGGAACTGTCCTTTTTGTGAGCAAGTACTTTCTTCATCTCAGTTTAAAGAAAATTCTGTAAGAAAAGCACATTTTTAATACCTTGATTTTCTTCTCAGCTCTCACAGCCGTTAGAAGACCAAGAAAACAGATTATTGAATGGCTCGAATGAAAGCTCAGGTGTAGGAAAGGAATGTGGAAGATAGTGCTTAACGGAATAAAAATCTGCAGGGGAATGACAGATTTGCCTTAGCATTGGTGATGTAGAGCTGCTGTAGCTGGGAAAAGCTGTACCAGAGCTGGAGACACTCCAGTCTTTTTGTGTATATAAAATCTGACACAAGAAAGAGGATTTGGAGGGCTCCTTGAATTGATAAGAAATAAAGGCTGTAAAACATCTTTTATTTTCATTCCACAGTGGGACAGACCCTTTGAAATCTCAAGTACTTTTGAAAGACAAGGAAATAATTTCTTCCTCTCAACAATGCTGTTTAGCAACCAAATTCTTCTTAAAGAAGGAATTCAGAGGCAAATTCTTTTTCTGTTATTGTCTTTTGGTTTTGTTAATGTTGGGGTTTGTTGCATTTTTTGGATGCATGTTGCAAGATGCCATTTATCCTCCAGACTTAGGAAAGCATTATGCCTTAAAGCCTCAATCTTCCCTTAGGATGCCAGATCAATGATAGTTTTGTTTGGATGTAGCTGGGAGGACTTTTGGAGCTAAGCTACACTTGGAGGCTGAGTTAGTGAGGAAAGAGGCAGTTATGCTTAAGCAATGTGGCGGATGTACCCAAAGTAGCAATTAACACAGAGAAAGTTTGCATATTTCTCATGCATTCTTCTGATTGCAAAGCACTTCTTATACAACCACAGTTTTCCAGAAGTGCTGTTAAGTCATCCCAAATTGGTTTTTCCTGCTGTACAGGAAGAGCATTCCCACAAATGCTACTCATGTGCTCAAATACATGTATCTGCCCTGACTGTGCTGCTGTCCTCAGAGCTACAAAAACCAGGTTACACCATTACTTTATTTTTTTTTTAAATGACAACCATTCAAGGCACTTGAAATTTTTGTAAATGCAGTGTGAGCCTCCTGTTAGGAAAAGCTGGCCTTTGAGAACCTCATTTCAACATAACCTCCTATACTGACAGTTGGCTCCACAAGCTCTTGCACAAAAAAAAGTCAGTAAAACCTCTTGATAACTGGAGTGGGAATTGCAGTACATTCCTATTCTGGAAGCTTACAAAGAAATTGCAGTAATCCCTGTGGGCTGCAGAAGAGACATTGTGCCCATGGGCAATGATTCGGGTAAAATTGAGGAGTTTTTATGAATTCCTCTTTAAAAAAGCAATTCACTCAGAATAGCCTACACCATATTAACTTCTGAATACATTTATCTTTTGCTAGCAGTGGTGATTATCTAGTGAACTGAAATATCCCAGCTATAATGCTTGTTTGAAAATTATAAAAAGTGGCATTCAGTAATGTGTTCTTTCCAGGTTTTCAACAAAACCAAATGTGATGATTAATGAGAGAATGAATCCATATTCCCTTAGGTTAATTGAATTTGTCTGCTTGCCACCCACACATTCCATTCTTTCAAGTTAATAGGAGTTTATTATCACTGAGATCATTCATGATTGGACTGAATTTTTGTGGAAGATTTCATGTTTCATCAAATGCAAGATTTAATGCTTTGTTTTTATCTGTCTTGAGTTCATCTTGCAACAGTTTGGAAGGGTTTTTACTTTTTATTCAGTACCCAAACTATTAAAAGACTGATGCATTGTAGTTCTGCAAAGAAAGCAAGATACAACTAACAGAAAATCATTTCAAAGGACACTTACATTCAGTGTCAAATTGATTTTGGAGTTAGTGTCTCTATATTGAGACTGTGTAAGAAGCTAT